CACATGAAACATCTAGAAGAGACAAATAGAGACATAAAGTAGATTAAAGGTTACCAGGAGTTGAAAAAAGTGAATACTAGGGGGTTATTGCTTAATAGTTAAGAGTTTCTGTCTGCAGTGATGAAAAAGTTTTGGAAATCAATAATGGTGACGGGGTGATAGTTGCATAATACTGTGAATGTGAATGTCGTTAATGCCACTGAATTATATACTTAAAAAAAAAAAAAGGAAACCAGAACATTCCAGCAGCCACAAAAGTTATATAACCATAGAGCTACCATTCTTCCTTATTATCACAAGTACTTTTGTATTCTAAATGTATTTACATGTATCTTCTGGTTAATGTAAAAATCTCTGGACACTATCAACTACACTCCAGTTCTTATGGATTATAATCAGTTCCTATGTCCGACATTCATTGTTTAGATTTAAAAGAACTGTGCATATGAACATCAATTTCTTTTTCTTGGGTGGGGGCCAGGGAATCAAACTCAGAAGCACTCAATCACTGAGCCACATTCCCAGCCCTATTTTGTATTTTATTTAGAGACAAGGTCTCAATGAGTTGCTTGGCACCTAGCCATTTGCTGAGGCTGGCTTTGAACTTGAGATCCTCCTGCCTTAGCCTCCTGAGCCACTGGGATTACAGGTGTGCACCACTGCACCTAGCGTTGGTTGTTTGGTTTTTTTTGTTTTTTTTTTTTGTTTTTTGTAAGTCATAAATCTTAAAAGAAATCTCAGAATTTTAGAGCCAAAAGGAATCTCAGATCATCAGTTCAAAAACTAAACAACATTCTGATGAATACCATTGGAAGAAGTTTTAAACATAAAACATGTTTTCTTCATAATTTCAGCTCAAAACAAGGAAAGCAATAATATTCCAGGCTTTAGTGACACCTTCAAATGACTGTTTGCAGGGTTGGGGTGTAGCTCAGTTTGGAGCACTGGCCTAGAATACACAAAGCCCTGGGTTCCATCCCCAGCACTGAAAAAAAAAAAAAAAAAAAAGGAGGGGGAAGAGGAAGAGGAGGAGAAGAAAGATTGTTTGCAAACACTTCAAGAGGCTTCAATTTCTTCTCATAGAAACATTCATCAAACTGAATATGGGAAGGCAGCAGAACTGGCTTTCATTCCACCCTTATCTTTCTCCTCTTGAGACAGAGGCTAGCTGCCTAGAGGTCCCCAATTCAATACACTAGATATATTCTTTCAGATGATTTTCACTAAAAGCCAATAAGCCTTCAGATTGGTCTTCTGATAATTCTAGTGACCTTGCTGAAAACTTCTGACACCTCCAAAAACTGTAAAAGACTGAGCTCCCCCAGCAAAACAGCAATGTTCCCATCACAGACATGCAAGGCTCCTAAATCCACCCACACTCCTACTTCCATGGAACAGACTTCAAACACTTCAACATCTTTTTTAAACGCATTCAGGTTTTGCAATATAAAAAGGGTTCTAGAGATGGACAATGGTGATGGTTGCACAACAGCGTAAACTTACTTCATACCACAGAACTACACGTACACTTAGTGGCTAAGATGGTAAATTTTATGTGTGTTTTACCACATATTTTAGCATAAAAGTTATCCATATATGGAACACATTTATATTCTTTGTTTCCTTTCCTTCTCATCCTCTCTGGTTGTCTGCTTTCTTGCTAACTGAGAAGCATGGAAACTTGAACAGATACTAGTTAAGATGAAAAACAAACAAAAAAAAAAAACAGAAGGTTATTTTGCTTTATTTATGGTCTTCCCTATCCACTTCAAAAAACAACCTGAAGTGAGGAAAGACAAATGAAATTCTTAAGATTTAACTGAAGAAAAAAAAAAAGAATAAGCTGTCATTTTTATTGTTGTAGAGGTTTTGGTCATTTTTATTTATTTCTAACATAAGTCAATATTTTTTGGTGAAAGGGATGATCCCACTGGAGAAAAAAAGGATCAGGGACTATCCATGAATGCCAACCACCCAGTGTATGAATGGAAGCATATGAATGGCTATGAAAGTGTTAAAGAAAAGAGAAAGAATTGATTAAAGGAGTTATTTTAGAATTATAGGAATGAAGAGGAAACAATTTTCTATACCTAATTCAAGGCAAAGGGGTATTTAAAGTGTCTCAAGACATAAAGCATGGTTACAGTGGGGGGGTTTTGGTACTGGAGACTGAACTCAGCAGTGCTTAAAAACTGAGCTACATTCCCTCCCCTTTTTATGTTTTATCTTGAAACAGGGTCTGGCTAAGTTGCTGATGTCCTCACAAGTTTCTGAGGCTGGCTTTAAACTCACAAGTTCTTGCTTCAGCCTACTGAGCCACTGGGATTATAGGCACACACCACCACACCCAGCTTTCACTATTTCTTTTTAAAAAAAATAAAGCAAAAAAAAATAGCCTCCACAAGCCTAACAATAAAGGTTCACAGGCATTATCTCCTTTAATCATCACAATAGCCTACGAGACAGGAAGACAGTATAATTTCCATTTTACAGATGAGAAAACTGAGGTCAAGAGAAGTGACTTCACAAAATTACTCAACCAATTATTAGCCAGAGCCAGAATTCAAAACCATGTTTACAAGTCTGCAAAGTCCACTTCTCTTGGAAGCAGTATGGTAGAGTAGAATAAACAACAGCTTTAAATGGCTGAATCGGAGACCAGATTCTAATACCTTTTAGATAGTTAGCTCTCTCCTTCAGATGATTCCTCAACTGTAAATAACACTAATAATAATACCTATCTTACCTAGATTAAGACTTTTGTGAGAATCAAGATGCATAAATGCTTTCAAAGTCATGAAAAAACAAGCTATGGGGGAGCTGGCAAAGATTAATTAAATAGTGTAGTATAGGAAGTGGTTAAATGCACAGACTGGAGCCAAAATTCATGTACCTAAACCTAAGTTCTTCTATTTCCCAGTTATGTAACCTTGGGAAAGTTATTTAACTTTTCTGTGCAATGGTTTCCTCATCTGTAAAACGGAGATAAAAATAAAACCAATCTCAGAATTTTTCGAGGATTAAATAAAATAATGTATGAATGATGCTTAGGTTAATATGTCATAAAGTAAGGACTCAACAATATTGGATATTAGACTCCAACTCAATTTTTTAAAGAAAGGATCACATCAAAAAGGGGAAGAAGGGAGGCTGAGGTGTAATTCAGTAGTAAAGCACTTGCCTTGCATGCATGAAGCCATGAGTTTGATTCTCGGCACCAGTCAAAAAAAAGAGGGAGAGAGGTTCAAATACTTAGTGAAAATACAAAAGAAGCCTGGCATTTTCTTCTCATTTAGTCCTCCAAATTTGGAAGTAAATATTTTGAGAAGCTTCAATTTTTAGGTAAAACAATATGGCTTCCAAAATGTTTCATTTGTGCAGATACTTAAGATTATTGAAACATAATATCTACTTTTTCACTTTTAAATGTCTTTTGTATTTTTATCTAAAAACATGTCATCAGACTGGGGCATAGTTCAGTGATAAAGCTTGTGTGCATGAATAAGGTCCTGGTTTCATCCCCAGCACAACACACACACACACACACACACAAAAAAGCGAAGAATGTCTCATCTAATTTCTTTTTGAAGTAATTTTGTTAAAGTAGTATCATGAACTTCTTTAACTAGTTTTGTTAAAGTAATATCATGGGGATTGAAATGAAGAAAATCATGTTACATGAATTTATGAATATGTTAAAATTAGTCCCACTATGGGCTTATTATTGTACAACTATAATGTAATTTTTAAAAGTATACTTAAAATTTAAGGCTAAACATCAGCATTTAAATATAGAATTTTAGAGTATTAAAGGAAAAAGTAACATCACAACTTTGTTATCAGTTTTTAAATAACTTTTGTTTCATATACTCATCAAGATTTGGGTTTTGGTTTTTTTGGAGAATCCTTTATTTTTTATTTGCTATATATGACTGCAGAAAATTTGGTTTCTAATTCAAAAGCAAACTAAACAGCTTTTAAGAGGAAAAATATAGATCAATTAAAAAAAGAAAACAGCATTAATAATAAATAAGTTATTTACTAAGAACAAAAAAGTGATATAGGAATAACTCTCACAAAAAGAATATAATTTAATGCTAATCTAAGCAATTCTTGTACCAGATTGGTTTATGGTCAGTTTGTAACTGAAGACAGAGTTAAGGTCTGAATCAAAGTTGGTATCTTGCTAAGAAATCAAGGTGGAAGTTATCTTAAATATCCATTATATAAAGAATTGCTGCTAGTAATTTAACAGGAGACACTGCTTCTTATTTTCTTTTTCTGAATTATTAACAAACAAACAATGCTCCAGAAGCTCTGCTACTATAAGAATTAAACAAAAAATTTTACCACAGGGCTGAGAATGTAGCTCAGTGGTAGAGCGCTTGCCTGGCATATGTGATGCCTTGCCTGAATTTAATATCCAGTACTTGGAAAAAAAAATTCCACTGCAGTATTTCAAAAAAAATATCTTAAAGGGGTTGGGGTTGTTTCTCAGTGGTAGAGTGCTCACCTAGCATGTATGAGCACCACATAAAAATAAAATAAAAACATTGTGTCCATCCACCTAAAATTAAAAAATAAATATATTTTTTTAAATAAGTAACTTAAAAACTCTGAATAGGCACCAAATAAGAATTATTTCTGTCAAAATTCACATAGCACATCTTGGAACTACAGTCAAATGAGCATTTCAATAGTTACATCTCCAACATTCTAATTAATTACCTTAAGTTTAAATCTTGAAGATTAATTATAAATTTAAATACATTAGGACAATACCTTGAACTCAAAATATAATGAAAAATTAACGAAGGTGAGGTGAATAGCTATCTAAGTATATTTTATTCTAATACAGTATTTTAGAGGCTAACAATATCTTATTCATAGTAAACATTCTGAAACTAGCTCAATGAATGAGTATCTATATGTCACTCCCACATTTTTACAATACTCTCATCTGTGTAACTTGGTGTTGAGAAGGAGTTTACCAGACACACCTCTCTGGCAATGTTACTCAAAGCTTCATCTTCTGCAGAAAATCGATCTTTCACAGGTGTTCGTTTCCTTCCAGAACCAGGAGTCCCCATCTTGTGTTCTTAATAGCCTTCCAAATCTGTAAGTGATTTCACTGTGTTCAGCCCTGAAATAAAATAAATGCAGAGAGTTAGGATGTTTCCCTTTATGCAGTTTTAATGCCCATTTATATATTCAACTTTAACAGAAGATTTATATTTGTCTTTGGAAAAATTAGCCAATAACTACTTTTGCACATGATCAATTATTCCAGTAAATTTTAGAATATTTAAATTTAAATTAATTACTAAACCTCCTAACTTCACTATGATATTCACAACAACTATGAGAGTATATTAGCCTCAGAAAACGGAAGTCAGCAGCAATTCTGCCTAACAGTTTAAAATACAACTATTTCTAAAATCTCTTTCCATTCCTGAGTGAAAGACATTTCAGAAAAGTCACTCAGCCTAAAGTTTCAGAAGAACATGTTCAAGAGGTTTTAATACCTTAAAATTACATAAAAGTAACTTATCTTTATGTAATCTAAGAAATTCTTGTACCAGATTGGTTTACAGTCATTTGTAACTGAAGACAGAGTTAAGGTCTGAATCGAAGTTGATACCTTGCTAAGAAAGTAGCAAGGTGTAATTTAAGAAACAATGCCAATTAAAGCACGACCACATAAAAAAACAAATGAATGCTTGTTATTCAGTAATTAATAATAACCAACACTGTCCATGCAAAAAATATGTATCTGTTATTTTCAGTTACTATAGGGACTGAAGATAGAGCAGTGAACAAAACTGATGTAAACAAATGACTAAGTATACATATGTGGGCCAGGAACAATAGTCCAACCTGTAATCTCAGTGACTCAGGAAGCTGAGGCAGGAGAATCAAAAGTTTGAGGCCAGGCAATTTATGGAGCCCCTGTCTCAAAATAAAAACTAAAAAGAGCTGGGGCTGTAACTCAGTGGCGCAGCACCCTGGGTTTGATCCCAGGACCACCAAAAATCATCCTCATCATCATCGTCATCATCACCACCTATAACTCTATCATAATTATCATTATTAAACAGACCCATTTTTACAGTTTTGCCATGTATATTTAAGTCTATGATCCATTTTCAGTTAACTTTGGTATTATGGTATGAGTCAGGGATCCAACTTCATATTTCTGCATGTGAACATGTACTTATCCTGGCACTATTTTTTAAAGACTTTATTCTTGCCCTATTGAATTGTCTTGCCATCTTTTTTGACAATACTGGAGACTGAACCCAAGGGCACTATACCCCTGAGCTAAATCCAGCCCTTTCTATTTTTCATTTTGAGACAGAGTCTCCATAAGTTACCTGGGCTGGCCTTGAATTTACAGTCTTTCCTGCCTCAGCCACAAGTAATTGGGATTCTAGTTATGCACCACATGCCCAGCTTGTCCTGCCACCCTTATTGAAAAATCAGCTGACCAGAGAAGTAAGGGCTTATAATTCAGCAGAATGGCACACACCTATAATCCCAGCTACTCAGGAGGCTTAGGCAGTAGAAGCACAAATTTAGGACCAGCAACTTAGAGGCACCCTGTGTCAAAATACAAAATAAAGAAAAGGGTTGGGATACAGCTCAGTGGTAGAGTACCCCTTGGTTCAAATCCCAGTACTTTAAAAAAAAGGGGGGCAGATATTTTTTATTTGTAGACATCTTTTTTTGTGTGTGTACCAGTTTTGTACTCAGGTCACTTAACCACTGAGCCATATCCACAGCCCTTTTTTGTATTTTATTTACAGACACGGTCTAACTAAGTTGCTGAGGCTGGCTTTGAACTCAGAATCCTCCTGCCTCAGCCTCCCAAGCCACTGGTATTATGCATTACTGTGCCTGGCTTAGACATCAATTTTTATTTTATTAATCTGTATGTGTATTTTTATGCCATATCACATCATCTTGATTACTGTGGCTTTGCAATAAGTTTTAAAATTGGAAAAAGGAGTCCTCAATTTTTTCTTGTTTAAGACTCACTGATTATTTTGGATCCCTTACATTTCCATATAAATTTTGAATCAGTTTGTCATTTTATTTGCAGGGGTAAATGGTTGAAAAAAAAAAAAAAGAAGGTAATCAGGATTACAAAGCAGTTACACTGAATCAATAGACCAATCTGAAGACAACTGCCATCTTAATAATATTAAGACTCCAATTCATAAAAATAGGATTCTTTCCAATTGTTTAGGTCTTCTTTAATTTCATTCCACCATATTCCATGTTTTCAATGTGCAGGTATCTCATACATGGAAACTGGAGCAGAAAAAGGGAAAGAAGGCTGTAGGTGGGGGGGGGGAGTAGGGATTGTATCATGAATATGTAAAAGTGGTGGAGTAGGAGAATGAGGAGGAGGGAGGGAGGAAGGAAGGGAAAGGGGAAGAAATATGAAATGAATTTTTTAAAAATCATGTTATATAATATATAAATGTGCCAAAAGGAATTTCACCTTTATGTATATGTAGGAAGTACCAATGAAAGATAAATAAAGGAGCCGGGTGTGGTGATGCACATCTGTAATCCCAACAGCTCAGGAGGCTGAGGCGGGAGGATTTCGAGTTCAAAGCCAGTCTCAGCAACTTATCGAAGCCCTAAGTAACTCAATGAGATCCTATTTCTAAAATATAAATAAGGGGTGGGGATGTGACTCAGTGATTAAGTGCCCCTGGGTTCAATCCCAGTATCATAAATAAATAAATAAATAAATAAATAAATAGATAGATAGATAGATAGATAGAAGATCAGTAGATAGAAGAGGAAGAAAAAGAGGGAAGAGGGTAAAGGGGACAGTGACTGAAATCAAATTCTTTGCAAGTATGATTTTGTCAAAATGAATCCAACTATAATTATAATACTCTAATAAAAATTTAAAAATTCAAAAAATAAAAATAACCATAAACATTTTTAAAACTTTTTTTAAAATAAAGGTTGGGGATGTAGCTCTGTGGCAGCATGCTTGTCTAGCAAGTATAAAGCTCCGAGTTCAATCCCCAGTAATGCAAAAAATGTTTTTGTTTTTGTTTTTTGTTTTGGGGCAAGGTAAAGCTTTACTTGTGCCAGAAGGGCGTGCTAGGGAGCAAAAAATGTTTAAAAGTAAAAAAAAGTCACTGGGAATGGTGGTACATGCCCATGATTCCAGCAACCCAGGAGGCTGAGGCAAGAAGATCAAAAATTCAAGGACAGCCTCAGCAACTAAATGATTCCAACAGCAACTCAAAGAGACCCTGTCTCAAAATACAACATAAAAACGGCTGATGTAGCTCAGTGGTAGAGCACCCCTGGGTGCAATCTCTAGTACCAAAAAACAAAACAAACTTGTAGATCACAAAAAATGAAATTGGCAAGACCAGGAGGGCAATGACTAGACAGATAAATAGACAGATAGATAGATAAAAAGATAGATAAATATAGATATCATTATTCATGACAAGAAAAAAAACATCTAAAACTTAAATTTTTTCTATCTTTAGTCCTATAATGCTTGAATCACTTAGACCAAATACTTAATTAAAAAAAAATAGCTACGACACATATGCTTGCTATTGTTTGTTATCAGACATAGATGATTTAAACCATTTATAGGAAAATAAGTGTGCCTCTGCAGAAAGTATACTCTTTAACTTTAAAATAGTCAAGATTGCTCCAAGCTGTTAAAATGTTTCTACTTGAAAAGTGGGTCTGTAGAAAGAATAACAAAGTGTTCAGAGCAATTTAAAAAATTAAATGTATTTCCTAAAGCAGTAAAAATATATAAAAACTAGTTAAAATTCTGATGTGCATAATAAAGGTATATATAGGTTTCAAAGTGAAAACAACAGAAAAAGCTGAGCTATGATTCTTTAATTGGGGTAGGGTGGGAAGTGGATAATATTCTACCTCTGAAAAAATAAAAACACTTTGATATGCACCCTAAGTCTTTTCCCAACTGCTTAACCTCTTCTTCTAGGAGGGAAAAGCTGAGACAGGGAAAGAATAATAGGAATAAACCAAACAATAGCATTATGGAAGAAAAGAAAAACACTACTATTTTATTTTTTTCTCCTCACACTGAATCCTAAATATACCACCATCATAAAATGCTACAATACCAATTTTTGAGGACAAGGAAAAACTATATTTCCTGGAGCCACAACCTAATCTTAAACAAAAGAAAGGGAAACCATCTGCAGGCTTGTGTCTATAAATTAAGTCTGCATGCTGAATTCTTCAAACAACTTTGACTGTAATATAGCAGTTAAATACACTAATGTGAACCTTGGTCAAAGGGTGGAACACTAAGTTCCTTAACAGCTTTCTAGTTTAAGAAGTGACATAGCTGAAGAACTATAAACTCAAGTGTTTCATTCACTAAATATAGAAAACATCAAGGTTTTCATGAGGCACCACATGACCCAGGGACACAACTATGCTAGGAGACAGCATCTGGTAACAACTAAGAGTTTAAAGCAAAAACTTCATGGTACTCTATACTTTTGTGGAAAAAAACAGAATGAGAATTTGAGAAGAAGCTAATTTATCTGAACTCAAAATAATCCTGTAAAACAATATCATTCCAAAAGTCCAAGAGTTCACATTTGTGATCCCAGTGACAAGTGTGAAGGTGTCTGAATTGAAATGCTATTTCAAATTATGGTATGGCCTCCCTGAGTCAGTAAGAGTAATGATTTTTCCCTTGATGTAAAACATTCCACTGATCCCTGGCAAACACTCTCAAATAACTAGAATATAACATCAGTGCTGTGACAATTCTTTGCTCTCCTTGTACCTCTCTTTATAAAAACTTGCTCAGTTTTCCCTAATCATCCTCTTTCCAAAACAATAAATAAATAAAATAGCCAAAAACCTAGATCCTGGGATACACCCTAAGCAGATTTCCAGCCCCAAAAGAGCCTTAATCTTATGAAGACAAATGTTCTTTATAATCCCCTCTTCTGTGGTTGCCACTTTTCCTAAACCACAAGCCTTCCTGACTTGCAGCAGGGCCAGGCCAGATTACAGTTATGTGGTAAGTTCTGTCAGATGAGCTTTGACAAGGCCTCAAAATAGATCCCGGGCATCAGCCAGGGAAACTGCCACTCACAAGTTCCAACTTCATCATACTTGAACTTCTCAGCACTTAACTTTTTTTCTCTAGTCTCTCTCATTTAAGAGGACAAAGGATCTCGAATCTCCTCCTGGCCATTAGTGAACTTTTATGTTAATCAAAATTTAAAAACTGGACCTCCCTTATTCTGCTTACAAACGGTTTGCAGAATAAAAACTGAATCTGAAGGTCTGGGGATGCAGCTCAGTAGTAGAACACTTGCCTAGCATGTGTGAAGCCCCAGGTTCAACTCCCAGCACCATCACAACAAAAGAATCTGTACCTTCTTCCTGCTGTGAAAAATCAATCCATCAAAAACACTATGAATTACAAAGAGATTTTTCAGATCCCAAGCTCCAAAGAGGTTGGTTTTTTTGTTTGTTTTGGTTTGGTTTGGTTTTTTTGATACTGGGGATTGAATTCAGGGGCACTCAACCACCCTATAGGCACCCATCCCTATTTTGTATTTTATTTAGAGATAGGGTCTCACTGAGTGGTTGAGCGCCTCACTTAGCTGAGATTGGCTTTGAACTCGTGATCCTCCTGCCTCAGCCTCCCAAGCTGCTGGGATTACAGGCAATGTGCCACCGAGCCCAGCTTCCACAGAATCTATTTGTATTTTTATTACAAACAGATTAGGATGCAGAATGTAAAGGAAGAAGACAGACTATTTATTTCTCTATTAATATTAATTATTATTTATTATTAACTATTATAATTATTAATAATTATAATTATTAACTATTGATATTAATAGTTAATAATTATAATTATTAACTATTACTATTAGCAGACTTCAACAGTACAAAAATTAAATAGACTATATACTTTTTTTTTCAGTACTGGTGTTTGAACCCAAGGGCGGTCTACTACTGAACTACATTCCCAGTCCATTTTAAATTTTGTTTTGAGACAGGGTCTTCCTAAATTATTGAGACTGGCCTTGAACTTGCAAGCCTCCTGCCTCAGCTACCAGAGTGCCTCAGATTATAGTCTTGGGCTATCAAGCCCAGCATTAAGTCCAGCATATATACAATGTTATTAATTGACATAAAACATAAAATTCTGAAACAACTGAAGAAGATGTAGCCACTTAACTATTACCAAATATAAATGGTTTGTATGTGAAAACACCAGTCTTCAAACTACCTTGTTTCTAATTGAAACAAATGAAATTAAGCATCTGCTACTCTAATCCGTCTTAAATCACCTTATAAAATACATTTGCAATGTTTTTTTTTAATGAAAAAATGGGTAGAGAATACAAAGTAATTAAGAAGTCTTTTCTTCTACAAGCCTATATAGTCTAATATAGGATTTAAATAAATTTTTAAATTTTTACAACTTAAGTCCCAAACTCCCAGTCATACATTCAAACATACACTATATATACATACTTATAAACCAGAGCCAAGACTTGTTTTACAAGTTTTTCATTATAGTAGTGCTTGTAGTAGTCTAAAAACAATCTAAATGTCTGTTAGTAGGGAATGGTAAATTATGGAAAATGAATAAATTAGGATTCATCTACACTAAGCAGGACATCCAATCTTCAGAAAAAATGAGGTGAATATATACATTCACTATATAAATATATATGTATGGGGGGGGGTGTTCCAAGATACATCAAGGGTTAGAATGAAAGGTACAGGATATTTTTACTAAACGTATGCTTGTGTATATATAATAAAAAATTTTGAGAAGACACACAGTAACCATTAGCAGTGCTTGCTTGGATTAGGAGGTAGGGGTAAAGAAAACCTAGGAGTTTGGGGCAGAAAGGAAACTTACATTTTCTTTTTAAATATTTTATCCATTTTTAAAAATCCCACAAATTCTACTAAACCCATGAAATCAGCATTATCCTATATATGCCATTTTTTCCCTCTTCCTAACCATCTCTACTTTTACCTATTGCTTTGTGTACCACTAGAGTAAAACAAATGTATACATATGTAGCAAGTATCAGAGACTATCCAAGATCTAGAATTCTCTTAGTTTCCCTAACACCACCAAAATCAAAAATAATAGAACAAATGAAAGAATATAGCATACAATAAATCCAGTATCGAATTTCTTTTAAACCTAGCCTAATTTATTTCAAGTTTTTAAAAGTGGAAGTGCAAAGTGCAACACTAAAAAATAAAAAAAAAATAAAAAAAAAAAAATAAAATCACTTCCAAAGATATCCTATCTATTATCCTAGAAGGGAAAATGGAGAAAAGAATAAAGTAGATTACTCACAAGGTAAATTTTGCTCAATTCCTTCCTTTCAAAGTTTTAAAAGCTCAGTTTTGAAAGACGGTCATAGAACCTAATCTTTATTTGCAAATTGGAAAAGTATATTACATTTTTTTTTAGTTATGGAATCATCCCTCTATTCAGATTCTCCAGAGAGAAAGTGACTACCTAAAAGGAAAAGGCTATGAAATAGTTTCTATTTTGTAGGTGCAATAGATAGTGCTCCTATGTTAAGGACAAGAATTTTACTTCCTTCTCAATGATCCTCATCAACATTCCCAGCACATTGCAAGAAGAATTTTTTTCCCTCTACACCATGAACTATGTTCTTTACACTAGAACCAGGATAAACAATTCATAGAGCTTTGCAAGAAAGTGCTCCCTCCCTCTTGCTAAATTCATTTCTAGTAAAAATTTGTTTTTAAGAGATACATTGCCAAATATATTTTGCATATCTCTTTTTTCCTTCATTATTGAGATGCTTAAATTTTGACCTAAGAAGATTATTATTTGTATTTTTATTACAAACAGATTAGGATGCAGAATGTAAAGGAAGAAGACAGACAAATATTCACTTGCATATTTGCCCACTAAGGCTGTCAGTTATGGTGGTTCCCACAAGGGATTTTCCGAAAGGGAATCTCTATTCGCAAGGAACTGAAACTCTTTAAGTTACTTTCAGCTGGACAAAAATCAAAAGCAACATTAGAGAATACTGAAAATAAGAATACATAAAGGGGGGCTGGGGATGTGGCTCAAGCCATAGCGCGCTCGCCTGGCATGTGAGCGGCCTGGGTTCGATCCTCAGCACCACATACAAAACAAAGATGTTGTGTCTGCCGAAAACTAAAAATAAATAAATAAATATTAAAATTCCCCCCCCCCCAAAAAATACATAAAGGTAAAAAAGAATGCCAAATTTTAGTCAAAGAATTAAAGAAATTTTGTAAGTAAGACCAATTGGATAAGTTTGGTATTACTTTAAAAAAATAACTAATTGAAGGTCTTCATGAGTGAAAAATAAAGGTAAAACAAGCTGAATCCCCCTCTCCCAAAAAAAGAAAAAGAAAAACATGGTTAAAAGTATCAAGACCTCTGTAATTCAAAGTTATTTTGCTTAACAACATTTTGAAAGCCAAAAATGATCAAATTACATTTCAGCAATAAAAAGTTATTTCTAGTTTAATATCAACCCATTCCAAAAATAAATCACAAATTCAATACACACTTTCTTCTGTAACAAAACTTAATTAACAGTATAGTCTCATTCTGTTAAGGATAGAATGGCAAAATGGGTAAGGCATTCCACTCAAAAGACTATTTTGTATAATGCAAATTTTTCTTTCAGTGAACTTTTTCATACCTTAGTGATGGTAGTTCTCCTTGCCAGGGTCATTTATTTTGCTTCTACACCCCTTCATTTATCTTGCCACATCTAGTCCAAAGAGGAAAAAAAAAAATGGGGCAAAATCACAACAATCCACTTAGTAATTAAAGCATTTTGCAAACTTTCAATTGTCATTTTCTTAGCATACTTTATGACAAAAACCATTCAGCAACAAACCTAACACTTCCTATAAAATAAGTAAAGGCATCTAATTAAACAAGCAGAAACAAACTTAGTTTTCCTCTATTTCACTGTTAAGATCCATATCAGTGATTCACAAGGTGAGTGATCTAACTTCCTATATGAATCACACTTTCCAAAATTCTTATTCTATACAAGTATAGTAGGTCATCATCTCTGTATTTGTTAAACAGAGCATGACATTGGTGAAACGGGGTTTTACTTCAAGAATTTCAAACCGTGGCATACTTGAAGTTCCTGCCCACTAACTTTACCTGCAACATTTTGCACTCTCCAACAACTGCACCTTTTCATATGGATTATCACCGAATAAAGTACTATTTTGAAAAAATATTTCTTTAAACACCAATTAAGAACTTACTCATCCCTACCCTCCTCTCCATCTCTCAGTTCCACTATTGCATCCACATTGTCTTCTCAATGTGATAACATAAAAATTAACAGCAATTCTGTCATCCTTTTAGTCAATTAAATTACAGTTTTTCTGTTTGTGGCAGAAATGCTGAGTCATTAAAAAAAATAAGCTATAAACAATTAAAATTTAGGCTACAGCTTCCCCCCCAGCCGTGTCTCAGAAAGCTGATATTTGTAACTCCCACGGTATAAAAAAAAAAAAAATACTGCAAACATTTGAATCTTTTTCTCCCCAAGAAAAGGAAGGGGGCTTCTTCTGGCTGGATATCCACAGAAAAAGGAAGCCAGGACTGACTGCAACTGAATAACTCAACAATCTGGGTGTGAATAATGCCCCATATTAGTCAAGCATTAACTCTGACCCACCTAGCTAGCTCCTGTTAGCCCGCGCTTCAGTTCAGGTCAAAGGAGCAAAGAGAGAAAAAATTCCATAAAAATGCTACACCGTCCATCGGCCTGACACCGTTCCCGGGAGTGCTTCTCCCGGGACCAAAACCCTGAGTGTGACGTTGGGAACAGAAGGAGCCGCGGACACCCGTGTCAGAGGAGCAGCCGTCCAATTTAATTTCTACCACAACTGGAATAACACCTTCCCTCCCCGCGGAGGGAGGGTGCGCGACAGAAGATGCCCGAGATCTCGGCAGTCAAGCGGCGACCGGGCCCAGGAGCTGGGCAGTCCCAGGGTAGCCCGGCCCCCAACAGGGGTCGGCGGCGGCGCGGATCCTCTGGGCTGCAGAGGCCGGGAAGAGGGGCCTCCCAGCTCCCTGCTCACACTGAGCGGGCGGGAGGAGCGGCCCTTACCTGCCTCTTGGGCGGGCTGTGGCTAAGGAGCCGCCTGGGAAGGGCCGGAGCGCGGCTGGCCGGCCCGGCACCCGCCCGGCACAGCGACGAAGGGCGAGAGGCGCTGCGGCCAGAGTCGGTCCCGGGTTCCCAGCCAGGAGGGCCGAGCTGAAAGCGGTGGCTCCCAGCACCGGCGGCCGACCTATCAAGCTGGTGCGCCCTCAGCGCGGCGGCTGAGACAGCGGGAACCGGCCCCGGGATGAGCCGCAGCCCCGGCGGCAGGCGGAGGCGGCCAAGGAGGGGCGGGGCCACGGGGTCACCGACCCGCTCACCCGGAAGTAGTTGTGGCCAGGACGGCCCGCGAGCGCCGCGCGCTGCGGCCGGACTAAGCCTCGGCGAGCCAAGTACCCGAGGCTGGCGGTAGAGGTGTCCCAGGCAGCAGTGTGCCTACTTCCCCACTTCGCCACCGCGAGCCGCTGGGGTGGCGCGGGAGGGAAGAAGGAAGGGCGGGGAACGCGGCCTCCGGTAAGGCGGGGCCTGAGCCACCGGTGGGGCGGAGGCCCAGGGCTCTTCGAGGCAGGCGTATCCCTGACCCCGGACAGGGACTGACTGATATGCGAATTGATACGTGTGCTGGCTCACGGTTGCACCTGCCGGGGTCGCCTCTAAACCGCCCGACTTTGTGGGCTTGGGTAAGTGGGCGGGAGTGGCGATCTGGCTGTAGGAAGCCAGAGAGTGCGGATGGGCGTGGTTGAAACGCTGCAAGCCATATTTACAAAATTCAATTGCATTATTTTAAAATGATTTCTAGAGAAGAATGCTTGGCGGAGTGAGGTGAAAGGAAGAGTTTAGAGCCTGTTAAAAATCGGATAACCGGACGCGATGGTGCGCACCTGTAGTCCCGGAGCCTGTGAATTTCAGGCCGGCTTGGGAATCAACAAGACCCAGTATTCAGGTGGAAAAAATAAAATAAAATCTGACAGACGCGGACCTGTCAGTCATTCATTCCAGAAATATCTGTATCTGTCGAGGTCGAAAAGACCAGGTCGAAAGCACTGGGAAAGACCAGGTTCTGCTCTTGGGAATCTTGCTTTCTAGTGAGATAGATACACTGATGCAGATAAACCAGGTAATGACAGCTTGTAAATATGACTCTGCAAGAAACTGTGATGAGAAAGATTTTATGGGCAAGGCCTCTGGCTGGAGAAGATGGCTAGAGAAGATCCTCTGAGAGGAAGTGATAGTTTAGCAGCCTCCTGATGAAAAAGGCAGGAAATGCACATACGCATAACATATATAGGGACTGCAGGTTCCAGAACTCTCCGAATAAGCTCAAAGATTCCATGTGAAGATCGTAATTGTAGCCCATGCGGTGGCGCACTCCTGTAATCCCAGCAGCTGGGAGACTGAGGCAATAGGATCACAAGTTCAAAGCCAACTTCAGCAATTTAGTGAGGCCCTAAGCGATTCAGTGAGACCCGTTTCTATGTATTAAAAAGGGCTGGGGATGTTTAGTGGTTAAGTGCCCCTGAGTTCAATCCCAGTACCCGCCCTCCAAAACAAAACCCTCTGCAATTAGAAAGCTTGCCGAGCCCTTAGAGTTCTTGGGTGCTGCCCCTATGACACTAATATTGGAGGTTCAAGAGACACAGAAAAATATATCCATCAGCCTTGGGAGACAAATTCTATAACCTTTGGCTGATTCTGTTCCATGTCATTCTTTTTATTGGACTCCAGTAAACATGAAAACTGATTTTTACCTGCTCTCTGTAACAGGCTGTACTGTTATCTGAATAAAAGGATTAATGACATGTCATCTTTTGTTAAATCAGTTGAAGACAAAATAAAAACCCTACTTGCAAGGAAGAGAATCTAATCAAATATTAATGTGGTTCCAAAATAATACCCATAAATCCAAATATGAACTGCATGATTAATGGAAAGATTGAATAATATTAGAGTTATATTCTCTTGCCCTTTTCATTTTACTGCTTAGCCAATTATTTTGACTCATGACAAACTAAATATTTTGCAGTGTCATTTTGGAAAAACTGAGGGAGCTAAACTTATTGAGTATAAGAATTGTGTAAGTTGCTTAAATATCTTCTCCAGTACTATGACTAACCTTGAGATATAAGTATTATTATATCCATTTTAGTAACAAAGACATTGAGGTTCAGAGACATTGTGATTTCCCTAAGGTAACAAAACTAATATCTGGAAAAGCCAGAATTTGAGCTCAGGTTTTTCTTGCCCTAATTTCCCCCTTTCTTCATACTGCTTTGCTGCTTTAATTGTTTGTTTGTTTGTTTGTTTGTTTCAAAAAAGGATCTTGCTTTGTTGTTAGATTAGCCCCAAATTCCTGGGATCTATCATTTCTGTCTTCTGAGTACCTGGGACTACAGGCCACCAGACCTGGCTTATTTTAATAGTTAAAAGGGAAAGATAAGTGTCCAGCCAAGCAGAATTCTATATTGGTTTTGGGATTTTTACTATGAAAATGTACTTTAAGGTAGAGTGTTCTGGAGGATCTTCTCTGTGTTTTTACTTCTCCCTCACAATTTACTGTTTGGCAACAAGAAAATGAAAACTGTTCCACTTGTTGTAAGAGTTAATTGTGTCATATATGATTTGAGTGCTGCCAAGAATGCTGTAAAGTGTGACACTAACATTTTGTCATTGCAAACGGGATTCTGACTAAATGTATAACTCTGAATTATATCATGGGCAGTCTCTCCCTGCGTGTTAACTATTTCACCAAAAAATATGTGCTCTCAGATCTTTATGGAATAGTCTGAGATGTGTATACCCCCAGGAGTGTATGGGCTGGCTGCTCTGAGGACTTATTAATAGATAAAGGAAATTTTTGAAAGTGTCTATGTAGTTCTGGGAATGAGGTGGTAGAATCTGTATATTTTTCTTCCTTTATAACCAATCTTTTATATTTTTCTTTGATGGCAATAAATGTTTCCTTTCTTAAGAGCAAATAATCATTGTTGTGGTTTTCACAAAATTGTCTTTCACAAACAAAACTTTTGTCTCTCTAGACATCTTTGGAAACTTTGGTTTAAACATTAAAAATAGGCTGCCAGAGGCTGGGGTTGTGGCTCAGTGGTACAGAGCTTGCCACACATGTGTGAGACACTGGTTTTGATTCTCTGCCCTGCGTATAAATAAATGAATAAAATAAAGGTCCATTAACAACTAAAAAAAAATTTTAAATAGGTTGCTACTTTTGCAAGTATAATTTTATGTGTCTGTGTATACATGTATGTTAATGTGTTGGGAGCACTTATTAATTTTGGATAGCTCCTTAAAAGGCTATCTGAACTTGGCAATATAACTGCCTTGCACTATGTGTAAGTTCTCTTTCTAAAATTTCCTGTCTGTATTTACTATTTTCTCTTGCTGTCATCTCTCTCTCTCTCTTTTTTTTTCTTCTATGTACCATTCACCCAATTGTCCCTGTTGGTACCATCTTACATAACTATAATGATCTGGGCATTTGGTGGCTGTTGTATTTGTTTTGTCTTCTTGCTGTATTGGAGACTGAACCCAGGAGTACTCTATCACTGAGTTACATTCCCAACCCTTTTTTTTTTTTTTTTATTTTGAGACAGTCTCTCTAAGTTGCTGAGAATGGTGTTGAATTTTTGTTTCTCCTACCTCAGCCTTCCAAATTAAAACTTAGGAAACTGACATCTTATTATCTTCTTCAGGTGTTTAGTTTCTTTTTATGTTTCATAACATCAAAAGATTGCCATTTTGGAAACAACTCTTTTATTATTTGATTTGGTTCTTCTCCTATTTCTTAATTAGCAAATATTAATAGTTAATAAGTTTGCTAAGGTGCTCAACTCAAATTACAAGTTTATTTGAAAATTCTGTGGGACAACACAATTGAAAGTGATTGATTTGTAAGGCTTACTATTTCATATCACCCTGACCTAAATCCATTTATACAACTGTGTATGTATGTATTTTAGTACAATCTCTGACCACTGAAATATTTTCAAAGAGATTCTTATTAAAATTTTTTAAAGGAAAAAGAAAACTCCTCACTTGACTGGGAGAAAAATATTTCTAAACACCTAACTATTCAAATGAGAATAATCTGTTGGGTTAGGATTCAGAATCTCACTTGCAGCTAATTCTGGCTCTCCATGGATTATCCTAGCCAGGGCAGCTCACTCTTCACTCAGAGCAGGGGGGGAAAAAAGGTGTAAATTACTTTCTTTGGTCTTGGCAGTAGGTTGATGAGAGGGGAGAATTTATATTTTAGATATCAATTATGTATGCATGCTTCATCAGAGATAATCAAGTGAGGGCTCCTCTGCATTATATACTTATAAATGAGTAATAAAACATCCTTTATATTATGGCTCATTTATAGCAAACTATTATTCATTTGCTGTATACTGGCACCTCGTTAGGCACTAGAAACATGGGGACAAAATAGGATTTCTGCCTTAAGGAGGTAGAATTCCCAAGTTTTGTTTTGTTTTCCTAAACAGAAATTTCTTTCTGACAGAAATCAGAGATCAAAGTGTTGTAGAGTTGGTTTCTCCTGAGGCCTCTCTCCTTGGCTTGCAGTGTAGCCACCTTCTATGTCCTCTGTCTTCCCTTCATGCCCTGAAGCCTTGGTATCTGTGTTTTCAAAATATATATATATATATATATATATATATATATATATATATTTTAAATAAGCTCTTATTGTGTACCAGACACTTCCTAAATGTTAGGGATACAATGGGAAGAAAAAAGAGTGGGATTCATTCTTTCAAGAGACTTTCTGATAAGGGAATCAATCTCACAGAAGTAACTTCATAATACACCAGGTATTACTAAGGATGATATGTACTGCCAAAAGGACACAAAAGATGTGGGACTTAACTCAATATGGAGTGTCAGAAATAGTCCTTAAAATAGATGCTTCCCATCAGGATTTAAAAGTGCCTGAGAGTAAATTAGAGGGAGATGTGGAATTATGCTGAAAAGAGCATATAGATATCATGATGGAACCAGCAGAATCCCAGGGATCAAAAGAAATAAACAGGGCTGGGATTGTGGCTCAACAGTGGAGTGCTCACTTAGCATGTACGAGACCCTGGGTTTGATCCTCAGCTCCACATAAAAATAAAATAAAAGATATTGTGTCCAACTACAACTAAAAAAAATAAATATTTTTTAAAAAAAGAAAGAGACAATGTCATATTTCATGCCTTACAGGCTAAGTTATCCTGCTGAGCATGGTGGTACACACCTTTAATCCCAGCAACTCAAGAGGCTGAGGCAGGAGGATTGCAAGTTTAGGGTAGCAAGCCTGGAGGTGGGGGAAGCAGCTAAGTAAAGGTCTACCAGGCAGGATGTTAGAGGCTGTAGTAAAGATTCTTATCTTCTGAACTCAATGCAAATCAGTTGAAGAATTTTTAGTGAGAGTGGCATGACCTGATCATGTGTATTTTCAAAAGATTACTCTGGCTTCAGAACAATAAAAAAGAATTCAGTCTTTAAATAATGTGTCCTGAAGACCTACTTTGGGCCAGAAACTATTCTGCATACTAAGGACACATGGCAGTGGACAACAAATTTCCTATCTTTGAGCACCTTATGTACAGCTAATACACAAAAAGTACATAAGATGATAGTGTTATAAAGAATTTTAGAAAAGGGCGAGAATTAAATAATGGGATGGGCTTTCTATTTTATTAGCTTGAGCCATATGAAATTTTTGTGGTTTTTTGTATTGTTTTGTTTTGTTTTTGAAAAGGAATCCCACTACATTGCCCAAACTGTTCTCAAACTCCTGGGCTTAAGTGATACTACCATCTCAGCTTCTCAAATGGTATTATAGGTACATGCCACCCTTCCCAGCTTAATTTTTAAGTTATTTTTAACTTAAAATAACATTAGAGTTATATTATCCAACCCAGTGTGTGGCATGAGGATCATATGATTCAACATAATACTTGAAGAGTCAGAGAAGA